AAAGGCTTCAGTATATTGTCAGAGTAAATAAAAACTTTCCAATTCCAGTAGTTTTTAAAACTGCAAGAATCCAGAAGGCTGTTAAGTGCTACTAGAGCAGCCAGAGCTCTTCTGTAATTGATAGAGCACACACGAATCTCTGACCCAAGTATGGCCTAATTTCAATTTATCACCTGATAGGAAATGTCCTCTGGATTCTTTGTACACTGCAAAGAGGAATGACAAGTTCCTCCCAGCTACCATTTTACTAATGAAAAAAATCTCTTCTGCAAAATTGTACTACATGTACTCAATAAGGAAAATTCTGAAACACTACCAGTCAGCATGGTAATACTTTGGTGTAAAGCATTTCTTTTCTAGCTCTTAACTGGACAAGGGATCTTCTCAGCTCAATAAAGAAAAGCAGAAAACACTTCAAGCATCTTTGATCATGCCTAATTTCTCTAATGAAGAATAGCTGGGAAACAGCCCTAAAATAGTTACCAAACTGAATTCTACAACATTTTCACACACAGAAAACAGCAGAGGAAGAAACACATCCAGTTTTGTGTACATTAGGCTTTAGTGCTTCTTTGTAGCTACTGCAAACATCAGTTCAGCTCGAGTCAGGCCAAGAACCAGGATGACACCAGCAAAAGCACATTTACTGCATTGCTTCACATACAAAACCATGCCCTCCACAGGGTCAGCAGCACTGCCTAAAGCACCAGCTGATGCCTCAATCCTCCATGGGAAACCTTCCCACCTCTGGCACTGTGCTGGAACCAAATTACAACAGAAATACAACAAAACAGTGTTTGAAAAAATTGTTAAGGGCAATACCATTTCCAAATGTAAAGCCCTACTCAAGTCCACTATGCCATCAAGCCCTTAAAAACAAAAGTTCATCAAGCTTCCTGTGGATGTTAAAAGGAAGGAGAGGAAGTATAGGAAACAAGCAGCATGCAATAAAATTCCTGACAGACAAACCTAGAAAATCCTAGCAGAGCTTACTGGAATGCTTCTGGGCCTTCAGTGTGTTCCCTTAAACAACTGATACTACTGATACCCCACTGATTCATAGATAGGTTTGTAACTTCAGTTGCCATCAAAATATCAGAGGTATAGTATGAACAATATTAACACATACAGCAAGAAAGAAAAATGTAATTTTTATATACAATACAGAGACAAAATATAGAGGGGTATAGCTATTAGCATTATCTGCAAATAATTCCATATGAAAGTTGATCATTTCTACTCAAGAAACAGAGAGACAAACAAAAAAACCAATGCAAGTGGAAATCCAGCACTGAAGTCCACATTTTCCTTTGCTCAGTGTACACTGGGGACAAACATGTGAAAAGCTTGATACATGAACACCAAAACTTCAAAGCAGAACATATGGTCACACTGCTACATATTGACATTTGCAAATGATCACATTTCATGTGGAAACAAAACAATGCTGAAGTTTCCTAAAGCTCTCTTTTCCCCAGCCTTCACAACTAACACAACTACTGCCTTAGTTTATCCTCAGGCTGAAGATGCCACACAAGCTCTTCAGAGAGCACTCCAGCTGCACACTTCTAAAACACAGAGGATCTACAGGTTGTGACTCTACACCTGCTTTTCACATAAAGTTTATCACCTTTGTTTTTTTGCCTTTTTTTTACTGTAACAGAACTATGCCTGTGCAAATCTCAGCTGGCTGGACTTGCTGCTTTACATCCCCTCTCTCTTGAGCAGATCTGGATGAAAGAACAGGGAAGGAACAATTTACCCTCTGTTGACACCCTGAAGTTCCTGGCCATGCATTCTTGCCTTCAACCTATGTTTTTAAATTAATTCAATTTCTCTAGTAACTACCTTTAAAATAGTTTAAGTGACAATTTATGGATTTCCTCTGCCACTCATGTTAAGCCTATTTGAAGCTGATGTGCTACTTGGAGGGCTGTTATTTCTGAAAAAGAAGTACCAGCATTAGCCATCTCTGCTTGTCTCTTGCAGCAACACAGCAGTAATATAATTACCAATGGAATCATCCAGTAATACACCAGACTGGAATTATTCAGTGAAAGAATACAAATAAACTCACCTTAAAAGTATTTTTCCTATTCTACCTGTCTGCTATGGCAACCTGAATAGCAGCTAAAGTGAAATACAGCCAAACAGATAGTAGGTAGGAATGTACTTTACTTGTATGTAAAAATAAAATTATTCATAGAGATAAGACCAATAATTATTCTTTACATATAAATTGTATTTGTGTGCATTATGATAAAGGTCATTTACTTTTATCACACTGATTTTTCAGAGTGCATTTTTTTTATAACTATATAGCATGTTTTGCTCTGGTCATTAGTCCAAAAAGTTGTATCAATACATATCCTGAATTCTGTTTTCCTGAATTCCAATTCAAGTAGAAGCTACTATGTCAATGAAGGATCCTTGATGTATATTTTATATCATCCTATCCATCTGCATTAATTGACACAATTTTAACAGTATTGCAAGATATAGCCAACACTTCTAGCTAACACAGAAGTAAAAGCTGTCTCTATCAGCTCAAACTCAATGCTTTCAGTTACTTTCAGCCATTTACTTCTGACTTTCTATTGCTTATCAACACAAAAAGCTTTGTCAACTTGCAGTACCATTGTACCCTTCTCAATGCTTCATAGAAACAACAGCAGGGAAAACCAAGCATATTAGTTCACATTTCTATCCACATAAAAGTCTGAGTCTCCTAAAGAATCACAAATAGAACCATAAACAGGCCACCCTTCAATTTCTTTAATCTCAATCACATTACAAAAATAAACATTAGCCTTTATATAACACTTTCAAAGAAGCCTATGAATATACTGGCATCTTACAACAGTGTTCTGGAAAAGATCACAGATTCAGCAGCACACAGACTAACTGTGCACTGAAACTATCATTCCTCAACTGATTTTCAGTTAAGAGAATCAGTTTTATTGGGAAGATTCTCAGCTTAGTATATAGAAGAGATTTTCCTGATCAACAAAACATGAACATACAACTTCTTCTCAAAACCTCTTTTTGGCCAACTTGAATAAAAGCAAAAGGCCACTCTAATCCTTTAGCAAAATAATTTCCAGGTAATTTTCTATAGATAGCCTGCAAACTGAAAAACAAGCAAGCTGTTTTCTGCCAAAGCTGGCACAGCAAGTGGACAGACTACAACAGACATTAAAAGCTTATCATTCTTTGGCCACAAGTTTTAATACTGCATCTTTGTTCAGTCTCTACCTTTGTTCCCTGAGACAATCACAGCCAGACTTTATGCCAGGCTAAAAAAACTGTATTTCATCTCAGCCTTAGCCCCAGGCCTCAGATCCTGAAATGAGTGTGTGTTTGAAAGTATTTAATCCCCAGCCTCGTAACTGCCTCAGAGCTAACACACAAAAATAACACCCAGGATCAGGAGTCAGCACGGCGGCTTTGGGGTGGGTTTCTTCCTTTCTCACACACTAAAGCAGGCACCATAAAGCAATGCAAATAAATCACAGTGTGTCAGAACATGGTAACTTGTTCAGGGCTGATCAGGGCTTCAATTAGAGGGGGAGGCTCGTTTGAAATTTTAAACCCTTCTTCAGCTTCCATTTCAGATTCCCCAAACCTCTGAAGAGATTTTTAAATTTGTCTCTCTTGGGTCAAGGAGACTGGTCTTCTCATTTTGCATCACATGCCTTAACTTTATAAAAAGAAGCACACAGAGGGTTCAGGCAGTAACAAAGGATTTGGATGTCTCAGCCACTGAAGGTGTATCTAAAATCAGGAGGTGTTCCATGCAATCGAAAATTACTTGCTAATAGAAGTTAATTACAATGTTTTAAAGCCTTGCCTAGTCAGTTAAATGCTGCCCAAAGAAAATAAAAGCTTTTATTCAGGTAGAGCATCTTTTTTATTATTACTATTTTATTTGTTTTTACACGGCTCCTTCCAGGTTTGGGTTCTGTCTGGACCCAAAAACTGAGGGCAGTGTTATTCAGAAATTCTAATCTGAGACAATCACACTTAATAAGAAGATTGATGGAATTCAGTTAACTTTTAATACCTGAACTGAATGAAAATATGTGTAAAAATGACACTCTCTGAAAAACCTCTTTCATAAAACAATAAGGAATATCCTGTCTATAAATAAAGAAGATCGTTAACACGAAAACAAAAAGTCTATCAATTTCCATCTGCTACTTGTTTCGCTGTCTGGTTAAGAAGATAAAAACATTTCTTGAGCCACAATCTGCCACAGGCACCTATTTAGCCATAACACTTACGAGCAAGAAACTAGCCTACCTCTGCAAAAAGTCTGACATGTCAAGAGTGCCAGTTATTCTTAGAGTGAGACATGACCACAATTTCACGTAATTAGAGATGTTATAAAACGCATCCCGCCCGCTCTCCCCATCCCCCTCCACCACTACCACCATTGCAGGAGTGACTTGTTACACATCGCGATGAGCAAGTAACATTCCCTGCCCGGGGAGAGAGCGGAGATCAGGCCATAAAAAGGGCACGAGATGCAAACAGGGATCCTCCCTCCCCTGCCCGGCTCGGCAGCCGCGGCTGCCCGGGCACAGCCTCGCCCTGCCCCGCGCGGCTCCCGGGGCGTCCCGGGGGGAGCAGCAGCTCCTTCCCCATCCCCGGCATCGGGAGAAAGGTGCCCCGGGCGAGCGGGTCACCTCCGGCCGCCCGGGGACGGAGGGGGAACGGCGGGGAAGGAGCTCAAGGACCACGGCGGCCGCCGGGGAAGGCTGGGGGGCGATCGCTGCCTTCCCCTTGGTGGCGTGCCGAGGACAAGGGCGGCGGGGCTCGGGGGCGCCCGGAGCCGGCAGGCCCAGGGCGCTGTCGGCGATACGGCGGCTCCACCGAGGCGCCGGAGCCCTCCCCGCCCGCCCGCCCGCGGGGCCTCGCTGCGGGCGGCAGGGGCCTGGGGAGCGGGGTACCCCGGCCTCCCGGGCCCGCGGGCTGCGTGCCGCACACCGCTCACTCACCTCGGGAGGCAGCAGGCGCCGCCGGGTCTGCATGGCGAGGGGATCTCCCGGGTCCGCCCCGGGAGCGCTAGGGGCCGGCGCGCCCTCGCCGCCGCCAGCCGCGCTCGCTCGCTCGCTGCCTCCGCGGCCAAGGCCGCCGCAGCGCCCGGCAGCAGCGCCCCCTGCCCGGCCCCGGCGGCAGCGCACGGCACTGCGGCACCGCCGGGGAGGCGGCGCGGAGCTGCCGCGCCCCCGCCCCGCGCCGCGGGGTCCGCGCCGGCACCCCTGCACCGGGCCCCGGGGTCCGCACCGGCACCCCCGCAGCGGCCGGACAGCGGGAGCAGCCGCCCGCTCTATCCCCGCGGGGACCCGCCGAGCCCGCGGCCCCCGTAGCCACACACACACAAATACACACACACAGGCGTGGGCGGCACCGGGCACCCACTGCCGCCACCGGTGCCCCGCGGCCGAGGGACGCGCCTCCAGGCAGCGGCTGCAGTGTGCGTAGTGTGACCACTCCACAAAACCTGGTCAGAAGGACTCGCGGCTGGGAGCCGAACGTGTGTTATCTCGCCATTTCGTGTTGAGCGTCTCCACAATCGGAGAGGGACACCATCCTGCGGGACGCCCTCGGCCGCCCAGAGAGGTGCGAGGCCCGGAGCCATCCGCTGGCAGACACGTTCAGTCCTCAGCAAAGAGGCTTCCAGAAATTAAAAATAAAAAAAGAAAGAAAAAAAAGAGAAACACAACACACAAAAAGAAAAAGAGAAAACAAAAACAAAAACAACCCCACACATACCAAATAACAACAAACGACCACGCTCGTTCCCCACAGAAGCCGCGATGGCAAGCCGGCAGGGCACGCCAAGCCGTGACACCGCGCCCGGAGTCTCACCCGTTCTCCCTCCAAGAGGAGGCGGCCGCCCATGCCGGGAGCGGGACTCTTCGCCTGGCTGCGGGCGCTCGGGAACTCCAGGAACTGTCATTCCCCGCGTGTGCCGCGGTCCGCCGGGCGCGGGCTGGGCGGGGGGCGGCCGGTGCCGGGCTGCGAACCGGCACAGCGCGCCCTCACCGCCGCCGGCAGCCTCACCGGGGCGAGCGAGCGCCCAGCGCCTCACGAACCCCCCATCCCACGCGTCAGGTGCCCCTCACTCCTCGCCTCAGGAACCTCTTGCCTCAGGAACACCCCATCCCTCGCCTCAGGAACCCCTCACCTCTGTTCCCCTTCAGGAAAGGCTCGCTTGGTGCCAGGGGAATGGGAAGGAGTCGCTGTCCCCTCACCTTTGTGCAGGTCTGTGATCTCCCAGCTGCAGCAGGGCCATGTCAGCCCAGGAAGGAGGGAAAGGTGAGTGCGGTGGCTGCTATTGCAGCTGCACGGCCATTCCCTCTTCCCAGGCCTTCACACTTACAGGCCATCCCTTTCCGGCAGGTTGGGCTTCTCCATTAACTTGCCGCATATGTCAGTGAATGCAGTGTAATGAGCCCCGGTGATAAAATCTAGGCCTCCTTGCTCCAAGAGCATCAGCCCATCCCGCTTGAAATGAAAGGGAAGCACTTAATGTTTATTCATTGATTCTGGTGGAACTATGTGCTTTTCAAGCGAAAAATATGAGATACTCCCAATCAACTGAATCATCAATCCATGGGCAAATAGCTGAGGAGATAAAAAATGCTCATCCATCATAGCTGGGAGTAGCATGTTAATGGAGATGGAATTTATTTACTCCCATAAAGCATTCCTGGTTAACCCCAACTTGCTATCTCTTTAGCAATTAGTGTTGTCATGCTTGTGAAGCACAGTTGGGGCATTCAGATTGGTGCAATACACAATTACTGTCCTCAAAATGGTTCTCATGAAACACCTCAGACTGATAAACACACAACATGCCTGACAAAAAAGAAAAGGGAAATTAATTAAAGAGTGAGTGGTGTAACACTCCATAACCTCTGGCCAAATGCAAGCTACTGCATAGCTTTGCCATCTGTGAATATCACTACCATAATTTTGTTCTACTTTTATTCCTCTGGATACCATTCATTGGGATGTCTTCTCACCAAACATGGAGAGGTTTTTCCTGAAGGGTCATAACTGGTTGTTTTGCAAGAAGGCAAAGCATGAAAGCATGCAAAACAGGAGTTAGGAGCAATGGGAATCATCTCTGTGAGTTAAGGTGATGGGACATGGTGTCATTCCCCATTCCTCCTGGGTATCTTGGATGCCTTGTGACTTGCTCCTAATGAAGATGTATCTGAAGGAGCAGCAAACTCCACAAGCTCCAGGGAGCTGCTCCAGGCACTTGTGGTGCCAGACACCTGAGCTTAGAGCAGGGAGATTGCCCATCCTGTGTTCTCAATGTGCTCCCTCGGCTAGAAGAAGAAACATTTCAATATTGATAGTGAGAAACACTGTGTACCAACCAATAATTTTGATCCCAACCAAACCAATAATTTTGATCCCAAGCCACAGTAAGGCTGCAAGACCATGGACCATGGACCATGACCTTTCACTTGGCACAAGAGTCCAAATTACAAACTCTCCCAAATGTTTTTGCAGTTCTTCCATGTCCATGGGCCTCCACAGCATTGTCACAAGAAATGGTGCCTGAGCTTGCCACCTCTTTTCCCAAGTATTTTTCCCAGTTCTTTATGAGAAGCTACCAAGGAAAAGGCATAAAGGAGAGCAGAGAGAAGAGGATACTTCAATTTGCAAAAGGCAGGGGATGGGAAAAGGGGAAAGAGGAGCATAGTTAGAAAGGTGAAGGGAACCTCTGAGGTGCCCTGGTTGCAGGGAGCAGCACAGAGTTATAGGGTCAGTACAATGATGTGTGTAACATGCTGGGATCTAGGAGTTGCAAGGGATTTTAAATGATGCCAGAGTAATCTTTGAGCAACAGAGTTAAAGACAAATAAGAGGATTTTTTAACTATGTGGTGAAACTTGCAGAAACCTGGAGAAAAGGAAGTTCATCATGTCTTCATTCTGTTTCTAGGTAGAAATAGTGGAATGGTTAACAACAATGTAGGAAAGCAGAACTCAATAATTATTCCTGGTCTGTTTTTGGGGAAGAGCCATATGATACACAAATATATGATGATGATGATGATGATGATGATGATGATGATGATGATGATGATGAAGAAATACATTCTATTACAACAAGCACTGAGGAGGATGTTAAACAGAAGCTAATGAAGTTGGCTATCAGCAGATCCAGGTAACTTGCATCCAAAAGTTTTAAAAGCACTGGCACAGAGTATCTTTAGACCATTAATGTTGATTTTCAATAAATCTTGGAACACTGTTAAAGTTCCAGAGGACTGGATGAAATATTGTACCCATATTTTAAAAGGGTAAACAAGGTGACCAAGGTAATTACAACCTGCCAGACTGACAAGAATTCTGGGTAATAAAATGGGACATTATCTAGATTACTTGATTGAAAAAGAATTAAAGAATGGAAACACAATAACTGCAAATAATTGTGGAAAATAAGTCTTGCAAAAATAATTTGATTTTTTAAATGGCATTACAAGTTTGGTTGATGAAGGTAAGTAGGCCTGCAAAATATTTGTTCTGGTAACTTGCAGCATTTTAATTAAGAAGCCAAAATGATACCGACTCATCACAGCACTTATTAAACTGTTGAGACTCTAACTAACTGACAGTTACAAAGTGGGAAAACAAAAAGTCATCATCAAAGAATGTGTTTCTGCATCCTGTGGCAATTAGTTCTACACTGCATTGTATTGATATTAATGGTTTTAAGAAGAACATAAAATCATCACTTAAAGAGTTTGCAAGTGATGTAAGCAATAGGGATTAATAAATAACAAGTCATGCTGCAAAGTAGCTGAGACAGCTTGATTACAAATAATGTGCATTTCTGTACAGCCAAATGTAAAAGCATGCATCAAGGAATAGAGGGAGTGATTATAGGATGAGAGAATTTGTGCTTTTACAAGTTAATGCTCAAAAACCTCAAGAATCATCACGTATAATCAGGAGAAAATAAGCAGGTGGTGTGGTGCTGTAGCCAAGAGGATAATGCAATCCTTGGGTTTATAAACAGGAGAATATAGAAAGAGGTCTCTATTTTTCTGGTACTAATCCCACTGCTCCTGAAGTCTGATACCCAAATTCCTTAATTCCTCAATAGAAGCTGAAAAAGAGATGGCTCAGAGAAGATCAATAAGAATGATTTAGACTGAAAGTGAAAAGCTTCAATCTATTTCAGTGTCAAGAAAGAAGGGGAAGGGGTGACTCAATCACAGGCTTTAAGAACCTTCAAGAGTCAGTGAGTGCATGCAGATGTATTCATCTTCCTGTGAGGTCTTTTACCAGGGAAGGTAATGAATCACAGGACAGTTTAGGACAGGACAAGCTGGATTTTCCAGCATTGGGAATGTCAAAATCAGGTGGTCGTAAAAACTTAATTTTGACAGAAGCAGGAGTTCAGTCCTGTAAGCCTGCTCCCTGGGAAATAGAACTCTGTGTCTGTAGCTGTGCATTCTGGCTGCTTGTCTATGCAGAAGCTGATTTCCTGGGGCACTAAGAAGTAACAACCTGTCATCCCTTTCAGCATCATCTGACACAGCTCATGTGCTGCTCAGCACATGATGGGAGCAGCCGTGGGGATGGCAGTGTTTGCAATGGTTCAAGGGATGGGTGGACTCCTTCACAGAAGGCAAAGCCTTTGAAGCATATTGCATACCAAGATAACTTTTCTCACTCAGGAAGCCTGAGACATGCCTTGCTGGAAGCTGGGAGGACACTCCTGACAAGTGTGACTGTATGATTATCCTGCTACTAAACTCTTCCTCTGGCATCTGCTTCTGGCCACTGTCACAGACAGCACATTGCTCTTGTGCAAAGCAGTCTCTCAGGTCCACCCCAAATCTGACCCATGCCTGATCTCTGAAAAGTGCAGTGGGAAATTTGGTGTGAGCAGAGAACAGATGCTTGAAAACGTGCATTGCACAGGAGAGGGCAAGAACCAGTGGAGACAACAAGAATTCTCAATATTAGAAAGTCAGGGGCTGACTTGGATAGGGGATTGTACACAAGGCTCTGGACGTCTCCAAAATCTGTCACTGAAGCATTCAGGAGTCTCCTGGTCTGATCTGGTACCATCA